AGAGTGTTAAATATAATCCAAACTTAATTATTGATTTAAACTTGCTATCAAGTCAGAATGTTCTTCTGTTAAAATAAAATGTTTTGGTTAACCCCCCAGTGGGCACCGGACTAAAACAAGACGTCTTTTGAACGTTCAAAAGACGTTCAAAAGATGTTCAAAACGTGTATAAGACGTTTAAAGACGTCTTTTTTACGTCCGTGTCCACTGGGCTTACTGAAGAAAATTTATACAGATTAATAATGAGAGCTAAGTTTAACTTAAAGGGAGCAAGCTATTCACTTTTGAAACAATTTCAAAGATTACCCGAAATTACAGCAAAAACGAGAATATAAAAAGTAACAGATAAATGTCGGTAGCGAGAGTTTTTAGGACTACATTTTAAAATAATGGCATCTTTAAATTGACCTATGACTGTTTTAAAACTATACAAGTGTTCTGAATATTTTTTGCAGTTAATTCTTTGAATTTAAATAATCGATTTCCAGTCATCTTAGCCTAATATTCTAGTTTTTTCTCCTTAAAAAAAGAGGAGAAAAAAAACCATAAAACATTGTCACGTTGCGCACGTCACAGTAATTATTATTAATAGCTGCGTCGGGCTCATCGTAACGTGAAATAAATTGTCTTAACCTCATTGTCATTAGAAAAAATCAATATGAACAAAATATGAGTTCTTATAATATATTGATGTTTTGAAAAATGTTAAGGACAGCGTTAACAACAATATTTCAGCTTTATTTTTGTATGTTATATAATGGTTTTAGAATGGGTTTTAACAATTGAATCAATATCACGAGTGCAACATTATATTTTGTGGCGTGCAATAAAATCTTTTTATGTTCATAGCATGAACTTTGTTATGCATTCTGCTAGACAGCTGCGTATTTAAAATAATTGCTTGATTAAAACTGAATTTAAAAGTGCATAAAATAATTATCAACTAATTACGCATTTGTCTGTCTGTAGTTTAAGAAAAACTTAATAACTGTTTGTCTTATCTAAAAAAAATTTTTCAAGAACTTTGAGATAGAATGTACGATCTACAATTTTCTTTAACAACTTGTGCTTGGTCTCAATGCTTATCTGGATTAACTTTGTTTACATTTGGCGTTTGGTCAATACTACATCAGCGTAAAAACTTTATTTCCAACTACGGTGTTCATTTATTTACCGGCTTCATGGTACAACGTATATTAATTTCTTTAAAAAATTTCAGTATTTGTTTTAATTTATTAACTTTTTATTTATTTTTAGTACTTTATCAAACTTGAATTTAAGGTAATAAGTTTTATCCTTTTCTGTAGTCATTTTTTAATCTTGTTTTCTAATTTCTTTAGTATTTTTTGTGCGGACTTGCTCTCAAATTTCTCTCTTCAACAAAATCAAAAAGAAAGGTACATATATTTTTAAAAAGTTTTATAACTAAAATGCTTAAAGAATGTTAATTTTTTTATTTTATCGATTAACACAAATTTAATGATAAACGAGGCAAAGAAGAAGTAAAGCTTCAAGTGGTTGGATGACAGAAATAAATTATTTACTGGGTTTAAATCAGCTAGCTACAATTGTAAAAATAAAGAAAGTATTTTGCCTACAAATATTACTGCCTAAATTTGACTAACGACTAGTCAGGGCCGACGATGCGGGTTTAAAAGCAAAATCTTCAATTTCTAAAAAAATTCCTCTAAATCTTAAAGTTTCTAAAAAAAAAATTAAAAGTTCTTCAGAAATTAAGGCCGAAGAGTACCTCCTGGCTCCCCCGGTGGTGTCGGTTATGCTAGTAACAAAAGAGTTCGTAATAAAAGTCAAAAAAAAAGAATTAGTAACAGTAAAAATATGTGGTGGTATGTGGTAACAATAAAAATATATCGTTTGCCACATAACAACTCCCCTTCTGAATACAGCCTAATAAAAGAGTGATCAAAATTAAAAAAAAAAATTAAAAAAATTTAATAAATAAAAAACGTTTTAAACTTATTAACAGTCTTTAAAATACAATTTTTTGAATTAAATAAGATATTTCTTAATAAAAGAAAAACTTCCGCGTTAGTTACGCATTTAAATTTTATACATGAAAATAAACTTGCTAATATTGATTTGGTGTTAGTTCCGCAATTAAGTTATCTTTAGCAAACATAAAAGTTTTTATATTTAAAAAAATGAGACAAATCTAATAATTAAAATATGAGTATATTTTTACCTTTTTTACTTAACACACACGCGCGCGAGCGCACTTTATTTGACCCGCAAGTCTCGTTTGAAATCCCCCTTCTTTTTTTTTTTTATCGGTAAAATAAAGTTCGGTAATTATATATATATTTAGTTTCAAAATTGAGTACAAAAGTAAAAATTCAGTCTAATTTGTGTTACAAGTCAGACTGAATTTTTGCTTTTGTACGCGACTAATAAGTTTGTAAAAAGATAAAAATATTGTCAAAATTTTGAAACTAAAAATATAATTACTGAACTTTATTTTACAAAAAACAAAAAAAAGGGGGTTTAAACTTAAAATACGTAAAAAGTTTAAAATAAAATACTTCAGCAATATTTCAAAAATTTTATTTCTCTAAATTGTTATATGATTTAGAGGGGATTGCTGATTTTCTCAAAACTGAAAAACTTTTTAAAGGTTTTTCAGTTTTTGGAAAATCAGTTATACTCTGCTTGCCGGCGTTCCTTCATAACTATAGTACGGTAAGTGAGAACAACTTTAAAAACCATGGTGATAATAAATATATAAAACCTTTATCATAATATACATATTATGATAAAGGTTTTGAGAAAAAAGATTTAGTGATTTAGGGAAGATAAATTAATTTATTTTTCATGATTTTTAAACTTATACACATTTTAATTCAATTTTGACTTCAAAAGCAAAGTTCTCGTCATCGTTTGATTTTGTATCTTCTATGCAGAACCGACGACACGGGTTTTGAAGTGTGTGTCGGAGGGGGGGGGGGGTACACAGTTATCAATTTGTGCCCCCTCCCCCCCCCAAAAAAAAAAAAAAATCTCTTTCAAAAATATCAAGATTTTTCTTAAAAAAAAAAAAAAAGATCTCGTAGAAAAAAAGTAGGGGGGCACGTGTTCCCTAGCCCCCCCCCCCCGTGTCGTCGGCCTTGCTATGTAGTATTGTATCTAGCTGTTATTTTAAGTCATATAAATTAAAAAAGAACATAAAATCTTTCATTTTTGTATGAGATAAAAACATTGTACTTTAATTTTATAAAAGAAATAAACTATAAGTAAAGAATTTTTAGATTATTTTGTGACAATAATTGTCTTGTTTTGTAGAGTAGGCCTATATTCTTTGATATTTGTGTATATATATAAATAATTTTTAAAAGATGTTATGGGTTTTTAAAAGATGCTTTCATCAAGCAGAATTTTTTAAAACACAAACATCTAAGCTTCTTTAATAGTTACGTATCCCAGTAAACACACGGCATCTATAAGACGTTTCTTAACCCGTTGGGTACAAGACGTAAAAAACACTTTTTTTGAAAGTCTTTTAAATGTTTCAAACGTCTTTTTTGTTCAAAAGACGTCTTTTTTAGGTTCTGTGTCCACTGGGAATGTCTGTGTTGAACCCTTTAGATAGATCAATAAAGAGCCTTGACGTAAAAATTTTTTCTTGCTAAACGGTTTGCTATTTCCATTTGTGAGATTAAGCGTTGCACGATCTTTTTGTTGTTTCAAGAACCCATACCAAACTTTATTTATTATTTTGTGAGTAATTAGATTATATTCTATTGAATACTTCAAAAAAATATATATATATATATATATATATATATATATATATATATATATATATATATGTATATATATATATATATATATATATATATATATATATATATATATATATATATATATATATATATACCCAGCGGGCATTTCGACGTCGAACGAACGTCGAGCGACGTCGGATCTCGACGTCGGATCGACGTTGGGTTTACGTTGGAAATGGAAATGTTATTTGACGTCGGATAAACTGACATCGCGCGACGTCGGCATTCCGATGTAAATCCAACGTGTTTTTTGAAAACTAAAAAACGCTGCCTTTGGCAGGAATCGAACCTCGATTTATTAGTTACTAAATCCTGTGCGCTTACCACTACACCACAAGGATATATTAATTGATGAGTTTATTTAGTAATTTATACTTGTAGCTATTTGGGAATTATTACTTTGATAAGAAATAATTTTGTTTAAATATTATATAAATATTAAAACGAATAGTTATATATTATAAAAAATGTATACTCGAAAATGTTAATAGTTAAAAAACTATGCTAGTGCATCATACAAAACCTCATGATGTTTTATCAACCTTTATTCAAACTTTTTTCCATTAATAAAAAAACACGCTTAGTTCACATAATTATTGAAGAGCGCAATTGCACACATATTGTTGGGTTTGGATTAAATTTTCATCAGCGATGTCTTACGACGTTGTTCCGACGTCGTTTTAAGGACGTTGGATTGACGTCGGAAGACGTCAAAAGACATCGGAGTACGTTAATATTATGACGTTGCCCGACGTCTTTTTATCGACGTTGGATCGATGTCAGTACTGCGACGTTTTTTGGACGTCTTTTATAAGATGTCGGAACAACGTCAAAATACATCGAAACGACGTCAGGGGATGTTGAGATAAAGACATCGCCCGACGTCATTTTACTGACATCGGAACAACGTCGGAATAGGTCTTTTGACATCGCTGATGAAAATCAAACGTAAATCCGACGTCGGATTGACGTCGGGTGCCCACTGGGTATATATATATATATATAAATATATATATAGTAGTATAACCATCAAACGGACATCTGTGCCGACCGGGAAAAGGGGAAAAAACCAGACTTTTTTTCTCAATTATGGCGTTAAAAATAAGTTTAACCAGTTAAAATTGTTATAACTTGAAAATTAAAATTTTTACAACGACAAAGGTTCTAAATGTTTTATTTATTTATTTTTTTTAGATTCGAACTTGTATGGTTATTCAGTTTCTATCTTCTCTAATGGCGCTTTCTTCTTGTGCTACTGCTTGTTATAGAACAATGACGTCAGAAGCTTTTAAAGAACTAGGTTCCATTATTTTTTATATGAGTTGGATGATCACATCAGCCGTTGCTTTTTTGGTGTTTTCTATTGGAATGTCGTTATGCGTAATTAAAGAAGCGCATCTTGCCATTCATCCTTTTCAAGTAACTTGTAACAAATTAATGCTTGTTTTGTTTGCGGTTTGCAATTTTTTTGTTTTGTTGTTATTTAGTCCGTGATTGTTGCCATATATTTTGTGTTGTGTTATTTTTAGTTGGATGATGGATTCACATTTTATTCTTTAAGAGGCGTAGTAAACTTTCAAAACAGATATGTAAGAACAAGAGATTTCTTAGGAAACCCCCCACCATATACGCGTTATCCACAAGTGCCAACAACAGCAGAGTCGTCCCAATCAATCCAAGGAAATAACGATTTTACGCCTCCACCAGAAATAAATGAAACAACGCATTAAACCCTTGTTTTGAGGCAGGAAAATCAAGAAGGACTGCTTAACATTTAATAATCAATGAGCTCAATGCACGTTAAATGTTTATTTTAATAAAAACAGTTACTGTATACTGAAAGACAAAGAACAATAAAGAATTTTCATCACCAAAAACAGTAATAAAGCAAACATTTAAAAATAAGAGTGAAGCAAGAAAATGGTCAAAAAATGAATTTTAATCATTTTAACACTAAACATAATTTTAGAATAAACTATTTCTTTGTTAACGAAAAAAGCCATTTATATGTTTTACAATTATCTTTACTACTTTTAAAAATAAATTTCTATTTATTGCAACGACTAAAGATTTTTTAATAGTATATAATAGTTTTAATACATACACTACTATTTAATTAAATGCCATGACAATATTTTTTTTCTGACAAATTTTTACAAACAGTTTTGATTTCAATTAATTATAGACTTTTTTTTCGTTAAAAGAACCTAGAAATGTTAGCTAGTTTAATAAAAAGTTTTGGTTGCAAGTCTAGTGTAGCAGGAAAAAATACCCCCGGGAAAATAATACCCCAAAAAAAATCTTATGAGAAAAAAGTTCCCCTCCCCCCATCCCGAGAAAAAAAAAATTAAATAACCAAACTTAAAAAAATTATTCATTAGGCAATCACCTAACATTAAGTAAGTATAGTTTTTTGGGGCCTAAATGTTCAATGACTTTATTAGGGATTGGTGCAGTGGAGTGTCTATACATCGACTGACTAGAGATGAGCGCTGTGAAGAATCCATACATCAACTACCTCAAATAAGGATAGGTGCATCGGAGTGTACATATATCTACCAAAGTTTTTAGCTTGGGAAGGCAATCTAACCGAAGGTTAGACTGTTTAGCCCTTATCCTAACCCTGAAATGGTTAGTTTTATTAATGTTAAGAGACAATTTGTTAGTCTTAAACCAGTCCGATATTTTGATTAATTCAATGTTCACGTGATGAAATAAAGTAGGAATGCTTTTGTGTGACATAAATAAAATAGTTTCATCAGCTAACATAATTGTTATTAAATCCGAGGCATTGTATAGATCATTAATTTAAATAAGGAAAAAGAGAGGTCCTAATATGGATCCTTGAGGAACTCCACATGTAATTTTAACAAATTTGATGAAAATATTTCATTGGTGTAAACAAGTTATTTACAATTAGTTAAATAACTTATCAACCAAATCAAAAAATTGTCTGTTATACCATAATATTTTAATTTTTTAGCAAGAATTTTAAAATCAGTTGTATCAAACGCTTTTGCTAAATTAATAAACAACTCCAATGTGAGTTTAGAATTTTAAAATGAGTCTGATTATTATCTAACCATGTGAATAAAAACATATTGTCAACCATCCTGTTTGCCTCAAATACTAAACCAATCTGCTGGATCAGACAATCCGAATCAAAACTAAAAACGTTTGGCTTGATGCTTCTATCGTGAAATCTAGACTACTAGTCTAGATTTCACGATAGATGCAGTTTTTTCTTAAATTTCACGATAAAAGCACTTTTCCAGTAATATTTCACTGTTGAAGGAAAAGAGATAATTATAGCGTCGCATATTTTAATATAACCAAATACTTATTAAATCAACAGCAACACTAATCCTAACCGTAAATTAAAAGAATTAGTTCAGCAAGTTTCACCTGTTTATGTGAAATCGTCAAAAAATGTTTCGTTTGCTTCACCTTTTTTAGCAATTGCTTTGCTCACCTATGAAATGCACTACTTAACAAATTTGTCAGTGCTATCAGCGTCGGCTGCTTCAAAGCATAACTTAATCAGCTACCATTGTAATTACCATAAGACATTGTTTTCCGGGCAATTGAGGACGAGCTAGCATAAATAAATGTTCATGGACTTGAGGAATACGCCCGAGTCTTGGCGCCCAAGTCAATTGCCCCTTTGTCCCTCCCTCTTAAAAGCTCTGAGATTAACTGATTTTCTTATTGATCAAAAAATCAACAGTCACTGTATGCCCCATTCTCTCAAAGAAGAGAGATCAAATTAAAAATCGGGTGCTTGTTCTAAGCGATTAAAAAGTAAAAACATTTTGTCAAGACTGTAAAATAGAGTATATATAATAGAGTATCAGCAAATAGAGTTACTCTATTTGCATAATTTGCTGATATCCACTGTAGATATCAGCAAATTAAAATTTGTGGCATTTAGCAAATTCTCATTTACTCAAGTGTTTGCATGCATGCTTGTGTAAATAGTGCTTTACGCACTTGTAGATTAAAAATTTGCACCTTCCGCAAGGTATTATACGAAATTTCAAAATATTAACGACCATGCACAAACTTACTTCGGTTTTAATAATTTCCATAGTTTTTGATGGTTTATTTAACTTTATAAAATAGATTTAGTATTTGATTTTAATGTCTTTAAATTCTTCAACGGAATTTATATTTAATTGCATTAATAGTATTGCACTTAATCTTACTTGAAAATAAGATTAAATATAATGATTAGATGTACTGCACTAACCTATATAGCTGATTTTTTACTGAGTATAAATTATACTCAGTAAAAAATCAGTACTATTATACTATAATAGTATAATCATTATACTATAATGTTTTGTTAATTTAATAAAACTATAATAATCAAAGTTTTAATTAAAAAGAGTTCAATTTAGTAGAAGATTAAACTCTTTAAGATTATACTTTTTCACATGGGCATTGAATCTTGCGACAAAATTTGATTAAGAAATTTTAAAAATTTCCTAATCAAGTTTTATCAGTCATCAGGTTCAATTTTCTCTGAGAATGATCATATTAAATCCTCTAACCTAGTCTCAGACTTTTTATTTTTCTGATATAATAACAAACTTTGTTTTTTGCATTTTTAACTCAGAGCCAAAAACCATATAATGAGACATGCTTCATTATAACTATGGTTTTTGCTTATGAGGTATATTTATTTTACTCTTTACTTTAATAGTATTTTATTAGTATTATTATCGTTATTATTATTATTGTTATTATCATTATTATTATTATTGCTATTATTATTGCTATTATTATTATTGCGCTTAAAAAGTTCATCTGCATTCAGATTTTAAAAGCTGCAAGTTATGATTAAATACTGTTAAACTAATGAGTAGAATTAACTAAATCTTTAGAATTTATCTACCTTAAGAAAGTAACAGTTATTAAATTGATTTTAACACCTTTTTACTATTTAAGCTTTTAGTTCAGTTTGCAAAAAATTTGTAAAACTATGCTAGTAATTTCTGAAAATTCTTTTATGCCCGATATATTTTAAGAAATTAGGATTTTACTTATAAAAAAAAAAATTAGCGCATAAATTTACTTCTAAATTATCTGATTTTATAAATTTACTTGATATTTAGTATTATGAATATACTCATGGATCACTTAAAGGCTAATGACCAAGTATTGTTTATTTGGAATTCAAACATTTCTGAACATGATATAAAAGAACAGGTAAAATCTCTTGGTGAAAAAGTTACAAGTGGAGGTAAAGTTCAAGTGGAGAATGCTGAAATATTATTAAGCTGTGAGTTTAAATATTTTCTCTCTATTTTTGTTTATGCTTCACTTTATATTGAAAATGTTTTGCTTTATATCTACTAAATTTATTTAGCTGAACATCAACAATCTTCATTTGATGTAGTTTTTTCTGGTACACCTTTGTCTCCCTTTTTTCATACAGATGATCTACTTGCGAAAATAGTTAAGCTTTTAAAACCAAATTGTTATTTTCAATTTTTTGAGTTAGCAGGTAAATGTTTATTTTGATTAAACTTTAATTAAACTTAAATTTTTAAATTAAGCTTAAAATATATTTTTGAACTTCAAATTAAACTTTAAATTTAATTAAGCTTAAAATTTAATTTGGTTATCAATAAATAAAGACTTTTTATTTTAATGCTATTGGATATATCTCTGAATATATTTTTTTGAGTAAATAAACATTAAGAATATAGAAGCATAAATAATGTATGAGGAGCCCATCTTCAAAACGTGCTAAGTTATAAAAATGAAAATTTTAAGTTAATTCTATTTCCACATTCTATATATTGAAATCTATCACCTATTTAAATATTAGACCAATTGAAAAATTTGTGATCCTAAAAATGGACAAAGGAAATATCAATTTCTGCACAAATAAGATGCACAACTAAGAGTAGTTTAGTTTTACATTGTTTTCTCAAAATCAGTTTCCTCAGTCTTTGTGCATTTTGCAAATGGGCTCCTCATATATGAGTTTTATACATGAATAAAAATGCAAAAGAAATATGCCGCCCCTCCCCCCTCCAGAATTTTGCAAAGTAATGTTAATTTTTTGGCTGATATAAAAGTGGAATACTGTTATATAAATAGAAACACTTTCGGCAATTGGTGATTTATTTTACCTAACTTAAAACTGTAATATTTTTTTTTAAACAAATTAAATAATTTATTAATATTGTATGATAACATTAAATATTATTAACATTTTTTTAAATATATGTTTTATATAGTTATGTATTTTATTATTTTATATTATAATTTGTCCAATCTAAATACTTTGGCTGAGAAGAACTGACTGAAATTAAAGCATAGCTAATAACTTCAATTCACAAAACAAAAAATTATGCTCATTTTTAAGTCCAGGCAAATGTGTTTCAAGTACAAAAGATAAAACTATTTTAAGCCACTTTACTGTATAATAAAAATTTTATTTATCATTTGATTTAAACATGGATAAGGTTCTATATTGTATATTATATTATAAGATTATATCCCTTATAAGGCCATAATCTAAATAAAATAAGTTTTTGTCAAATCCTTTCTTACTATTCAACAATCTAAACAACACGAATAAGACAATTGCATATTTTTTTAAGCGGACACCATATGTACAATATGCTTCTAGTGCTTATGTACAATATACTTCTAAAAAATAAGTGAAATATGCGTAATTGTAAAGTTTTTACCAAAGCAAGAACATTTGCTTAGAAACATTAATGAGAACACCAAAATAGAACAAGATTCTTAACCATTCAAAAAGCTGAAGAAACTTTCTACAACAAGTTTCTACAACAACCTGTTCGGGCAGAATGTGTTAGGAGAGTCATCAATAATTATGAATCAATCTCGCAACTTTTGGATGAATGAATTTTTTTTCGTTTGTGAAACTTGACCAAGAGACAAAAACAAGAATCTTTTTACTTCTTTTTCAGCATCAATCTCTATGCTATGGCTGATAGCTTGTCAAAATCCCTTCAATTGACAAAAGTGTTGGTAACCAATAAAAAGAAATGCATGTTTTGTGATTGATATAATAAAAAATATGAGAAGTGATGACGACTACCATTTGTTTTTTGCGGTAGTTAAGAAAGCAGCAAATTCAATCTAATCAATTAAAAAACTTATCTTGCTAAGGAACTGAAAACAGTTAACCTATTCCATTTTTCAATATGTCATTGGTTACAAAGAACAAACAAGCAATGCCTATCACCCAGAACAGTTGATGATTATTTCAAGCCAATATATTAATAAGCTCTTAATGGGATCCTAAACTCCCAACACATATTGTGTTCATATTAAAGATAATGTTAAAAAAAAGGTTTGAACCAAGTTTTTTTGATTAAAAATAAATAATGAATGCATACCAAGAAAAACAAATGTTGTTGTTTTAGTCAAAGTTTTTTTGATTAAATACAAATAATGAATGTATACTGAGAAAAACAAATGTTGCAGTTTTAGTCGAAGCTGGCCTTCTCCATTTTACTCAAAAAGTTAGAGTCTTTAAATTATGCATCACAATCGACAGACTTCAGCAATTCCTTTGAAGTGTGTTTAATTCATAAAAGTTTTAGTATTTGATGTCACTGTAGACTTTTGACAAATGAAACTCTGGAAAAACTTTTATTTATATTTATTCATAAGTATTTTCATTTTTGTTTAGTTATTTATTTTCTAATTTTAACATTTAAAAAGTTATTAAAAACCTCAAATATTTCATGCTGGTTTGTTTCTATAAATTTTTATTGCGCTATATTTAATTTAAAAACAGAAGAAATTTAAGTAAGATATTTAAATCTAAAAATTATTGAGATATCTGTAAAAAAATAAGTTGCTCCTAAAAAATAAAAATAATGTATTATTTTTACTTTTTACAAAATTTTTTTTGCAATGTTTGGAAAAATAATACAAATAAATTTGTTTTGCTGTATGCTAAAAAAAATACTTCAACGTACTTTTTAAATAAAAGTTGAAAAGCTTTGTTTTTATACATTTTCTTTTGCTTTTACATTTTTTATTTTTCAAAAAGTCTACCGTGACATCAAATACTAAAACTTTTATGAATTAAGGGCGCTTCAAAGGAATGGCAGAAGTCTGTAGATTGCAACATATAATTTAAAGACTTCGAGTTTTTGAGTAAAATAGAGAAGGCGAGCTTTCGTGCATTAATTATTTATTTTTAATCAAAAAAACTTAGTTCAAACCTTTTTTTTTAACATTATCTTTAATATGAACACAGCATATGTTGGGAGTTTGGAATCCCTTTTATTAACACAATTATTTAATTTTAATTTAACACAATTTAACACAATTATTAATGCCATAGAAGATCGATTCGAACAACCAGCATTCATGAAGTTTGTGAATGTTGAAGAACTGTTTTTAAAAGCCATTAATAGGATGGATCTATCAAAGGAGCTTAAGATTTTAGAGTTAGGATAAGTGCAGGAGTGAGTTCAGAACATTTATTATAAAAGAACTTATTAGATTTTTTTATCGTATTTTTTCAATTTTTTCAGTGTTTGAAGAAAAATTTTTATTTTCAAAAACATTCGAATTCAAGATAAATTCTGGAAAATGACATCAAAATTTGAAATTTAGTTTTAATTGATCCATTAGAGCTAAAAAAAATTGCTTCATTTTCTTTTAGGGGTTCTTAACCATCATTTCAAAAATCTTCTACAG